AATAATATGGCAGTTCCTCAGAGACCTCCAAATAGAACTACCATATGATCCAGCAATTCTACATCTGGGTATCTACTTGAAGGATAGGAGTACACTCAGTTGGAAAAGCACTTGTACACCCATGTTTATCGTGGCATTATTCATAATTTCTAAGACCTGGAATCAACCCAAAGTCCACAAACAGATGAGTGGATTGAAAAATGTGGTATATATACACTGTGGAATACTACTCAGTCATTAAAAAACAAACAAACAAAACAAAAAAAACCAGACTGACATTTGATAGAAAGCAAACAAATATGGAAGATTTACTGCTAAGTGAAACAAGCCAGATTATGAGAGAGAGGCATTGTATATTTCCACTCAATATATACTGAATGTCTTTATTCAATGACAGAAACCAAAATAATTGGAAGAAAAAAAGTATGGAGAACAATTGTGGATATTAGGAACAGTGTTGGAGGAGATGGGAAATGGGGGAGGGTGAGAGGAAGGGAATCAAGGAGAAAGAGGAAGAAGCAAAATATTTAAGGGTCACACAAATGGAAAATTATCTGTTGATGATAACATGTATAATAATATCTTTAACTGGACTAATATACAGTGTATTTGTGCTGGGAAAATTTATTTTGCATGTCGTAATGATATAGAGTGATATAATGTATTATTTTTATTAATTCTTACATTTTTAGCAATAATACCATGGGGGTAGGGGGAAGAGTGATATACTTTTGGGACGATCACAATGATGTGTACCAAGAAGGTCTTACAAAGAATACGTGGGACCAGCAGGTGGCGTGGTGATTGGGGCGCTGGACACTCCCACATGGTCGACCAGGGTTCAAGTCCTGAATCTGGTGGCTTGCTTTCTCACTTCCTCTCTCTCACTCTCAACCTCTGTCTCTCTCTGGTCAAATTAAAAAAAAAATGAATAAAAATAAAATAATTATTAAAAAAAAACAAAAAAGAATACATGAAAGGTAGGGCCAGCAGGTTGCATTGTGGTTAAGACTCTAGACTTTTATGTGGCTAACCACAGTTTAATTACAGCTTAAAAATTATGTCTGGTGTGTGTGCGCGTGTGTGCCCAAAATCTCAGGAGGAGAATGGAGGATAAGGGGTTATGGCATGGCCATCCCTCCTAGGGGGAAGGGATGACTTCTCACTCTGTGTTTTTCTAGTGAGTGCATGTGCCCTATAGCAAAAACCTTAAGAAAAAAATAACACATACATTAAAGGAGTGTTAACAGATAATATGGGAGATTTATAAGTTAGGTACTAGGCCACTTTAAGGATATTGAAAGGTTTTAAACAGTGTCGGTGACATCATTTATGTTTTCAAAGGGTCATTGTAGCTCCCAATTAAAAGATTTCTGGAGGGCCAAAGTGGATAAAAGACATCGTCAGAAACTCTAGCAGTAGTCAAGGTGGGAAATGACAGTAGCTAGGGCTAGGGTGTATGTTTCGAGATGGAGGTGAGTGAACAGTTTGGAAGATACTTAGGTGAAGTGGACGGACCTTGGTGATGAGAGAAGAATGGTAGATGAGAGAGAAGGCATTATCACGGGTGACTTCCACAATTTTGGCTCATATAACTGGATATCGGATGAAGCCATTTACTGAAGCAGAGTGTAAACATCTTCAAAATAACAACTTATTTTTATTTCTCTGGGCAGGATTGAGCTTTCTTGAGGGAAAGCCGAGTCATGGTACATGACACAGTGAAGGGTAACTCAGAGCAGTTTGCAGAAGCCACTGTGTGAGGAGGGTGTGAACTCGGAGGTCTCCTGGCCTGAGGTTTCTTAAGTGCCAGTAGTGACTAAGTAGAACAGGTGTGACAATATGGCTTTGCCAATGTTTAGTTTTTTTCATACTGATTCTGATCACATAAGGTAGAAAAACAGCAGATCTGTTGTACTGATCAAGTTACCCAGCTTATAGTTTCTCAGTAATATTACTTTTTAAGAAAATGTCTGTAACCTAGGATCAGTATCTCAGATCTCTTTCTTTATATCCTGCCAGGCCCTCTCAGTCCTCTTAATAACTTTCCTTCAGTTGAAGTGAGTTAGACTACCCCAGAGTGTGTTGTTCTACCCCAAAGTACCCTTAATTAACATGTGAGTTTCCTAATATCATTAACAAGAGGTAGGATCTCCCATAACCAAGATTAGCTGTGTAATGTAGTGTCTCACAAAACTCATTTTTGAGCTCCAGCTTGCTTTTGACTCATTTCACTTCACATTTTTCTCAATGCAGTTTTTTCCTGATTTCTCTGAATCCACACTAAACACCTGCTATTTCAAATACAATGCAGTCCTCTCCAAATACAACCAATTTCTTTTCTGCTTAGCAGTCCCTAAGTAGGAGACCCAAGACAAGTCTAGGTAGGAAAGAAAGATTATAAGTTTGATTTTCAGTGAGTTCATTTTCAGGTCCTTTATTCTATTCAGGCAGAGTATCAGTAGGCAAATGTTAGGAGGCATATAGAGAAGTCTTAATGGATGGTAAATAATTTTTTTTAATTATTTTATTCAACTTTATTTATTTCATTTAATTTGACCAGAGAGGGCCAGAGTGCAACAGAGAGAGGGAAAGAAAGTAAGAAACAAGGCTCCAGGTCTGGGACTTGAACCACGGTTGGCCATATGGGATTCCAGAGCCTTTTACCACCACACCACCTGCTGGCATCAGATGGTAAATAAATTTAAGAGATTAGGAAGCTGTCATCTTAGGTTAGAGTACTCAGAAAACTATATCATACAGAGTTAGAAAAGAAGAGGGCCTGAGCCTTTAGTTACTCCTGCAGCAGGTGCATGGGTTAAGAAAGATGGTCCTGCAAAGGAATCAGGAGAGACAAGAAAGAGGGTACAAACCAAGAGTATGGGCTAGTGGAGTACAGGGCAGTGAGTGCTTTAAGAAAGAATGGTGATCACGGATGCCTAACGGCTGCTGACAAATAAGCTACAGATTTTAAAATGTCCATTGAGTTTAGTGACAAGGAGGTTATTTGGGACCTTGGAAACATCTGTGTTCCTGAGATAATAGGGTAGAGGCCAGCTTGGAGTGGGTTTGGAAATGAATGGGAACCAGGGGCAGAGAATGAGCAAGTTTAGGAAGTAAGCAGAAAAGAGGAGAGATGAAAACAGATAACTACAAGATGAGGGGTTTGAACTGGATTCAGCAGAAAGTAATTTTAGTTTTTTTCTTTAAGAGGGCAGCTATTTGATGATGTTAAAATTAAAGACTGCTTAAATGTAGTTAATAGAACTATATTGTTTTTGCATATTGATTATGCATAGGGATTTTATATATATACATATGTGTGTATGTATATATGTATGTATATGTGTGTGTGTGTGTGTATATATTTTTTTTTCTATTTTTTTTTTATTTTTAGTTTTTTGCTGTAGGGTGTGTGCCCTCACTGGAGAGAGACACAAAGAGAGGGAAAAAGAGAAATCATCCATGAGAGGGGATGGCCATGCCAGTCCTTTTTCCTCCATTCTCCTCTCAGCATTTTGAGGTTGCACATATGTGCCCAGCGTAGTTTTCAAGCCACCAGGTCCAGGACGGACCATGGTCTGCTAGGTAGGAATCCAGCACTGCAACCACCACACCTCCTACTGCTTGGTCCCAGGGATATATATATATATGTTAATCTTCAGATAGAAAACTAGATGGTTTTGTGAAAAGCAAGGTACTCGAATCAATTTAAAAATTTTTGTTGTTCATTTGAAGTGCAATGTTTACTAGAAAATAGAAAATTAAAAATACATCAACATATTTGGTATTTGATAATGACATATAAAAAGATTTCATCATGGGACGAGCAGATGGTATAATGGTTATGTCACTGGACTCCCACATAGTCGACTGCCATTTGAGTCCCAGATGAGGCAACTTGAAATTCACATCATGTGTGTGTGCATACATGCCCAAAATCCCGAGAGAAGAATGGAGAGGAGATTGTGGTGTGGCCATCCCCTTGAGGGGGGCGGGCGCGGAGATTTCTCCTTTTCTGTCTGTCTAGTGAGCACATGCACCCTGTAGCAAAAATCTCTCTTAAAAAAAAAAAAAATTCATCACAAGTGGGTCAGCAGGTTGCTTGGTGGTCAAGGTGCTGGATCCCCATGGTCGGCTCTGCTATTACGGTTTCCAAAGGTAACTTAAACAGCAGAAAGCACATAGTCCCAGACCTTGCTTCCAGACCTGTCATTTTGCCCATTTCCTTTGAACATGTCCCTCTTACCTTCTGACCCTCATTTTTCTCAGCATAAAGACAAATGCTACGGTTCCTTCTCTGCTCACCTCACAGGACTTCTAGTGTGAAATGAAACGAGAAGCAGTGCAGACAGGGAGCACAGGCATGTCGGGGAGACCCAGCTTACGTACCAGCTCTGCACTAACCAGTTGTCTGTCTTTGATCCTGTGTTCTCATCTATGAAATGGGGATAATAGAGTCATTGTGAGGATTAGTAATAATTCCTGCAAAGCACTCTGCGCAGTCCCTGGCACATAGTAGTTGTTCAGTGCAATAAACAGAATGGAGTAATGGTCACAGCATGAACGTCATTATAATAAGCAAAGGCACTTTGGTAATTAGGTGCTAAACAAACATAACATGCTATTTTGTATTTCAGCTTGTAATTTTGTTGGGATTCTTACATGCTTTATAAGGTCTTTTTCACATCCTTTGTCCTGTTCCTTTGCCTATCCATTCTTTCCAACCTGTCGCTCTTCCTTTATCTTCTCACCTTGTTCATTTTTACATTTCATTTTGTGTCTCCATCCTCTAGCAGCTGTCGACAAGACATACAAAAATACCTCATCTATTTTTTCCTGTATTTTCAAATTACCACCATTGTATGTAGTTAGAAAATATTTTTCCTTTAGATTTAAATATATATTTATTAGAAATTCATTCTTTTTTGATAATTGAGCTGATTCAAGATATTTCAGTAACATGGTTTCTGTTTTATTTAAATTTATTTTTATCTCAGGGAGATTTCACACAAATGGAATCCTAAACAAATAGGAGAACACCTTCTACTGAAAGCGTAAGTTTCAAAAAAATGACATTTCTATTGGAAATTTTTATTAATTTTTATTTCAGAACTGAAAAAAACTTATTAAATAGCATGAAGGAAATTATAGCAATGAAATATTGGTGGGAAAGCAACCTGAAAGAACAAGTAACATAAAATTTAGGAATAAAATCCTGAAACACATGTCTTTAAAATAAACCTTACCAACTTGAAAGGCTGAAATCACAGCCTGCTTTTTTTTTTCTTGTTTTCTTAGGAAGTTAACAAAGGTCAATTTGATTAACTTAAATTTCCAAGGAAAATATTATTATGTTATTATTACTCAGAGATAAATATTTATTTGTGTAGTGGTGAGCAAATCCAAAACCCTAGTGATGTTAAAATATAGTCCTAAAGGCACTTAGTGGTTTTATAGCAGTAACCATTTTTGAAAATTAGACATTTACTCTTCACTTTTTAATTTTTTTTGAAGATTGTGAATTGGAAATTCCCCACCTTGCTGGCTCCCTCTGTGAGACATTCCAGCATATTATTACTTAGTGATGTTCCATTCACCTTGAAACCCACTACTTGTAGGACCTGGCCCATAAGGGTTAGGTAAATTTCACCTTGGTGTTATTTTAAATGACTATATTTTGCAGTCTTGCAAAGTTGTAATATTGCTATGTTTAACTATCGGTGGTAGGGAACAACTTTCCAAAACTGTACAATATTGTTTTTTAATAATGAGAGGGGACTTTACTCCCACTGAAGGTTGCTGGATAGGATATCTGAGAGTAAATAATGATAATAGAATAGTAGCAGAAAAGTACACTTGTTCGGATAACATTAAAAAGGCAAGCTATGGAATGGATCCCCATCCTAGATTTTCAGTATTGAGTGTATAGACTGTATTTTTTTTTTTTTTTTTTTTTTTTTTTTTGGGAGTTTTCCCCTATAGGGCGCGGGGCCGCCCAC